GGAAGTGTCGAAACAATTAAATATTTAATTAAATAATAAAAAGTTAACTGCTGGGCAATAAAAAGGTATTAATATAACAACTAAAAGGGTTAACTACGCGGCAATGCCCCATGGAATGGATAGAGCCGAGAGAATGAGTGTATCTGAAAAGGATTCCCGAGAGCACAAAGCTGAAATTCAGGATTAAACTTGAAATAACCGTAAATATCCGCGAAACTCAACAATTGTGTAGGCGGTAACATTCCGGTAATACGTGCTTCTCAACAATCAGATTAACTCCGGGTTAATTAAGCAGATAGTGCTGTTACCTTGACTTTTCGCTTCCTGTAGGAGGCATGTATTATAGTATACAGAATTTCGCTTTGAGCTCCATATATCTCCGACACTGAGTGTGTAATTGGATAACGCTAATTTAGTGAAAAGGCGCGACTCGGAAGTCGGAGTTTTCACTTAAAAACTTTGAGACGATTAGGCATCAGTTGCCTGCGATTTTATGCGATCAAGTTGTGGAAGTTGAGCAGGAACTATAAGTTTGATTTGAATTGTACAAAACTTTAATTAAGTTTCATTCGAGCAACTTTTGCTCGTGAAAGAACGAAAATAATCGAGTGGATCTGGATTTGAAAATACTGATCAAGGCGCAATTATGAATTCCAACTCAACTTGAATGAAAAGTTTACTTTCTACTTCTATTCTACATACGGATTTTAATAATGCTCGTATATTAATTTCTACTTGCACGTCACAGACCTGTCATTTGCTCGTTTTCGGGTATTAAGAAAGGCCTGTTCGTTGTTTCACAGTCCCCAGTTTGGGGATTACAACGCGCCTGGATGATGTACTCCTCCACGTGGATTATTTCCATAAAGCTGGCCATACGGTTCGAATTTTATCAGCAATTTCCACGAGAATGAACATTACAGTAGCTAGATAAGGAATTATTTTTAAAATTGTATATTAGACACTGAGGTGGAAAGTGTTTCGTTCTTGTCAAGAGATTTATATCTTAAAAACGTTCATAGGCCTTTTGGCAATTTCGTAGCCCTTGTGCATGAGTTTATGATTAACGATAATTTTTCTAATGGTATAGACAACAAAAGGCTCAATTTCTACTATACAGTTCAGTATAAAATGATGTACATGGGGACATTGGAAACCGTTAGAGTTACAGGGTGGACCAAATGGGGAAAAAGTTGCGCAATCAAGTGCCTATAAATAATCTGTCAACAACTTCTTTGAACTTGGAACAGCAACGGATATACAGGGAAAAAAGGAAAAAAGTGCGTTTTATCCAAAATCTTAATTTTGCTAATTTTAATGATTTATCTTTACCGAACATAAACATGTTATACATGGTTGAAGAGCATATTTAAAGGGGAATTTAAAAATGCAGAAATTCAATATGGCACCCATAAGAAAAACAAAAGTTGACTTCAGCCTCATTGAACATAGCGGGCCTAGATTATTTTTTACTTTATTTTCAAATTCACGCTCATTTCTTACCCCACCCTTAAAATTTCGTTATTGTATCTTTTATAATAAACACGATATAAAGGATTTTATAAAACGCACTTTTTTCTTTTTTTCCCTGTATATCCATTGCTATTCCGAGTTCAAAGAAGTTGATGACAGATTATTTATAGGCACTTGATTGGGCAACTTTTTCCCCATTTGGTCCACTCTGTATCGTTAACGGTTTACAATATCCCCATGTACATCATTTTATACTGGACACACTGTATTACCCCTCCCCCTGACTTGAAAGCTGAATCCGCCCCTGCTCGATGTATGATATTCAAATTTCGCTCATCATGTCACTAGTGTTGTTATGACTGAATCGAATTTTCAATTCTCTATCCAAAAATGCTAAAACGAATTACGTCGCTCAAATGGTTCTTGAAAAACTTCGAAAAAAGACAATTTATTTCTCTCTGGAATGATGTAAAAATGCGCGTTCTAGCTCAGTTTGCTTCCGAGAGAAATATGCAAAAACGGGACGAAACCATAAAATTTTGGCCTAATCTTGCATCTAAATGTCTGATATTCAAATTTCGTCGTCTGATATTCAAATTCAAACAACATCTGTTTTAATTTAGTTTTAAACAACTTTTCAATTCTTACTTTTTTAATGCGGTTTTCTAGTTTATTAAAGGATTTTATTCCCATATAGTAAGGACTTTTTTCAGACAGTGTTGTCTGTGTGTTGGATACAAAATGTTCCCGGTGCGGGCGCTATGATCTTGGTTAACGTTGCTATCGTGTAAATATATATTCCTAACACATAGTATTGCCTCAAGAATATACAGACCGTACACGGTTAACATACCCTTTGATTTAAAAACCCCTTGACAAGGCTGCAAAGGAGACATTCCGTAGATAGTCCTTAGTATACGTTTCTGTACTGTAGATATATTTGGAGTCCCTGAGCTACTCGCCCAAAAAATTATTCCCTGTCTAAGTGTCCCTTCAAAGTTTGCGAAATACAGAGCCTTGCGGGCCGTTTCATTGAGGTATCTTGAAGCATTTCGGATACAAAACCAAATTGTATTTAGTTTTTTACTAAGGTAATCAATATGGCAAGACTAAAGTCTAAAAATTCATCGATATAAATACCTAAAAACTTTGTGCTACTACTACCTACTAAAATTTGTAGCCCTTCAACAACAATGGTGTCTGGTTTCTGATTTTTATTTAATTTGGTTCTAAACATTAATGCGTTCGGTTTTTCTTTATTTAAGCATAACATATTTTTTTCCAAACCATCTTTCTGCCGATGTAAACAAAGTAGTGGCATTTCCCACTAGTTTGGGGATTGTTTTTCCCCCTACTAGCAGGTTTGCATCATCTGCATACTCCGTTAGCACAAAATTTGGGGTAAGAAATTCGCTGTTAATGTCATTCATAAAGACTATAAACAAAATAGGTCCGAGTATATTCCCTTCTGGCACACCTACTGTGCTTTGTGAAATTTGTGATTTGTAGTAGCGTATAACCACCCTTTGGGTTCTATTACTTAAATATGAGCGAAACCACTCAAGAGCGGGCCCCCTGATCCCATGATTTTCTAGTTTTTTAAGGAGTAAATTTCGATTCAAAGCGATAGTTCATTGCGGTGCTGTTTATTTTGATTTTTATATTTTGAGCTTTTATAAGGCTTGCAATGTTCTGTCGAAAGGCTTTTTCAATTTGAATTGATTTAGATTGTTTCTTTCAATGCATACCGTGTCCATTTTTATCTCTATTCCACTTTAATTTATATTTCGATTTAAACCATATTTTGCTAGTTACCGTATGAAACAATTCCTCGTTTCCTTTAATTAAATTGAGCTAGCTTATTAAAACTTACCTGTCTAAAAACAGCAATTTTTCAGTCATAAATCTCTTGCGATGCATCCACTGCCACTAAAACTGTTCTAACACACTAACTAATTAAAAATTGTTTGCGAAACGCGAAATAGTTAAGACTGTTCGTGTTTGAGCTCCATTAGTTGTTCAGATCCTTCGAATGATTTATCGGTGGCTTTCTAAAGGTGAGGGTGGCACAGTATTTGTCATTTTATGTATTTTAGTCTTTTATCTGTCCCTGCTTTGCAGCGGCTTTACGTTCGAATTACTACTGAAGTACAAATTGTTCAGACAATGTTTCGGGAAAATTCAGAATTATTAATTGCAACACAAGCAGTTTTCCAACAGCAGAGTCAAATCGTAAAATATACTATCTACGAGTAGGTAAATGATGGCAAGAAGCCTTGAGAGCAAGAAGTAAAATTACCGTTAGCATAACTTCTACACAAACATTTTCCTAATTAAAACCATGTTTAATATGACAAAGTGTTGCGCAGATGTTTGATTTATGATCATTAATTACTAAAGACCAGAACGACAACCGATGCTATATTTATTCCTAAACAAATTAAGGAAAAAGCAATAGAGTACAACACACCTGCATTTATTTGCTTCGTTGACCTTACTAAGGCTTTCGACAGAGTTTGCCTGGGAGACGTTATAAAAATCCTAAAGGAAAAAGAAGCCCCTGCTAACATAGTAACAACGATATACAACCTTAACACTGGTAACAGAACGCAAATCAACGATGGAGAGAATATATCACAACATCCCCACCCCAGGGGGAATTAGACAGGGAGATAGCCTTAAGGCCGGGACACATCTATCCGATCCGACTCCGATCCGACTCCTATCAGAGAACCTTCCGTCGATGACCAAATAATCGGATCGGTGCGAGATCTGAAAGGGGAAGCCACACATGTCATACACGTTCCAGTTTCCGTTCCGATTTTTGGACGAGTGCAAATCACAGATTATCAAACTATTCCTAAGACTGCCAGAAGTCCAAATGTATTAATTGGCTCTACCGTTTTTCATATAGACACTCGGATGGTTTACTTTGAATATCGAAAACTGAAAGCCGAACTAGATATAA